CCAGGACCAGAACCAGAACTGCCCTGTTGTCCCGGGTCTGCTTTTAAACGGGCTGTGCCCCGGCTGTGTTCCTCCTCTCAGAGCTGTCGGCCAGGAGAAAACACTTTGTTTTGAGCCAGTGAGATGCTCTTTTGCCTTAGAACGGACACACACAGCCCGTAGAGGTCAGAGGTCACACAGCTGTCAGCAGACATCTAGACCGGTGCAGCAAATAGAGCTGGACAGACCTGATAAGCTTTGGATGGAGGATTCAAAAACCACCGGCTGTTATAGCTTCTGACGTGCTCAGTGATGGGGAATAAGAGAAAGAAGAGCAGCATGTGGTGTGTGTGTGTGTGTGTGAGTGTGTGTGTGTGAGTGTCTGGGCTGGGACTGTCGAGCTGGGCACCAGATAAATGATCTGAACGGACTTGGGAGCAGGTTCCCGTTTTGAGGTGGGAAACATCTTGGAGCTGTGACGCTGACAGGGACACGACTGTTGTGTGTTTGTGTTTGTGTTTGTGAGAACAGCTCACATGTGATGGCAGAGGAGAGTAAATCTACTGGAGCCTCACTGCGTGTTTAGGGAGTGAGTGGTCGGAAATACTCCCGTTGTGTTGTAATATCCATGTTGGATAATATGTGACAGACTCAGAAGTGTGTGTGTGTGTTTTGCTCATGACACAGTTGTGGTTTTCTCCTTTGATAACTCCCCGTCCCTTTCGTTTTATTTAAAATTTTTGATCAGCTACCCTAACCTGCACCTGGAGCCTACATTTACTTTAGTTATTACATTTAGGCAGAATTTTGAGAATTTAGCTGTGAATTGTGTATATTTTTCAGGCTTAGTTTTGTCTTTGCAACTGTTTCTCTTCTTTCATGAGTATGTTTTAAATTATTTGGAAGTAAAAATGAATCAACCAATGAATTTTTTTGTCCGTTATTCCACTGCTTTGTGAAAGCTGGAGACGCAGCTATACTGCTGCGTATGTCCACTCTCTTTTTCTACAGACGCACACACAGGAAGCTGGCTGGCAGGAAACAGACTAATGTTACATTCTAATAGAAGGGGGTGCGCTGAAATACCTCCACTTAGCGTCCAGCAGCTGACCTCTGCTCATGAGTGTGCCTGCTATTTCCAGATTGTTTGTCTTAGTTGAGATCTGTCTTTTTTCCAGTCCATTTAAAGCGCTGGGGCTCCGGTGGCTGGCAGTAATGAATCTGCCATAGCTCCATATTGTTGGTCAGATGATCACTTGTAAGTTAATGAACATGCATCATTTCGCTTAAATGATTCCTAAAACTTAAATCCACACAGTGGCCACCATATTTTCCCCTGTGTCCTATGAGCTGATGTACCTGGCCTCTCTCCCATTGGCTGCTGTAACAGGCTCCCCACCCTCAGTGCCAGTGGTCCCGTACAGAGAAGAAAACACTGGTTTACATTTCCTGTCTCCTCAACCTGAGCCAGACACACACAAATCGCATTCTTAGATCTGAAATCAAATTTCTTGTCTCTATAGATGATCCTACAAATGAACATGGATAAGGTCCAGCCCTGTCCAGACTTATAGACTCACCTTGTTGTGGTCTGATTTGCTTTGTTGCTTCTCAGTTTCCTGTCTGGCTTTCCTCTATGTTTTAGATGTTTATTTTGGATTCGAATTTTCAGATGAGAACATACATGTAAACAGAAATGTGTGTGTGTTATGAGAGATTTGAATGCATTTTAATGTAAAAGAAAATGCTGTGGGATGAGTGAGGACTGGACCCAAAAGCAAACGTAAAACTGCTGGATACAGGAATAACAGAGATTTATTGGTGTGGGAGGTACCAGTGATCCAGGAAGAGGATATAAGGTCCAAGTGAAGGTGCCAATGGTCCAGTGGGGGGGGTGTCCTTGGGGAGCAGGGCTTGAAGATGGGCTGAAGGTAGCTCCAAAAGAGTGCTGAACAGACAGGAAAAAAACACAGAAACAATCAGCAGCACCCAGGAACCAAAGAGAACGACCACCACAGAAAGTAGGTGATGGGCAGGTGTTCCTGAGGATCCATATGGGCCCCGTGTTCTGCCTGGAGAGGTCTCAGACCTCGGGATGCCTCTCTTATCTGTAGGATTGATTTTACTGTCAGTCTGTTTAGAAAATGATTTGACAAAATATAATTTTTCTTGTATCAAATTGGTTTGAAAATGAGAGGATCCTGTAAAATGCAGAGTCAGCTCTGGCTGAGCCGGCCCTGCTCCCGGCTCCCTGCTCTGGTTTTTGGGAGCGGCCCCTTTAGTCTGAATGAAGGCTCTGGCCACGCCGTCCTTCATTCCAGCCACTCTGAGCGTAAGAGTTGGGCTGACAGCAGAATTCTTTTTCCTGGTGTGCGTTAGGCGGAATGGGGCCAGAGCTCATTAGCAGCCAGCCAGGGGCCTCATGCTGCACAAGTCTGAATGGCTGCCACCCGCCCTCCACTTATTATGTCACCTGCCATTGTCTGATCAAGTTTGGCATGTGTGTGTGTGTGTGTGTTAGTGTGTGTGTGTGTGTGTGCTGGAAAGAGAAAGCACTCATTTTTACTCAATTTATCACGATCAAAATATACTATCACAAGGCCATGAACGGAAAAGAGAGTAACTTTGATAGACTGACTGGATGAAATCAAACTAATTCACATAAAGCTGAGAAAGAGAGGATTTGTCTACTCAACAAGTGGAATAGCCAGGTCCAGGACCAGGTCATGTAATTCCACAAAAGGCTCTTTTCTGGAACAACCTGGGGTTTTTATTTTGACCCTTCTTTTTCCACGCGTGCTCTCTACTCCAGATGGAACCCACTGTTAGCACACAGACGTGTTCAGCCACACAGTCACTGTCTGGATGTCCTCAAAGACGCACACACCCAGTCAACAGATCCAAAGATGGGATCCAGAAACAGGTCGGACATCTGAAGACAGCGGAAGCCTCACAGACGCACTACAACACTTTGATAAACAACAGCTATGGTTTTCATTAGCCAGACTTGGAGCTGTCAAATGGGCACTCTTTCTCTTTTAAGTCTCCTAATGGCTGCCAGTACTGATCAGTCTGAGGCTGATGGAGGGACCAGAGCTGGAGGGGAGAGCTCCAAATAAGGACGGAGGCTCAGCAGACCACACCACCCTCCTCAGGATTCTCCCCGATTGATGATTCTTTGAACTAAACTGACAAATAAACTATTTCAAGATGTTTGATTTGAGCCTAAATAGATGTCTCCCTAACAATACGTTATGTTTGCCTCCACTAAATCAGCACACTGTAAAGAAGATCAAAGCCGCTGTGTAAGCTGCTCCCTGCTGATCTTAAGAGGAGGACATAAACTGTCATGCTTGTCAAAACAGTCCAGGGTGCCTGTTGTGCGATATGGAGCGAACATCAGAACCTCAGTCACCCGCGTGTCACATATCTCTGTATTTTCTATAAGATGGCTGAATGCTGCCACACATTCTGAGGAACCACTGATGAACCCCAAACCAAACAAGGTTATACACGGCTTCTAGGCAGAGGCATGTAGAACCCAACTACACTGATACTCCTATGACTTAGAAAACCAGGGTCCAGCTCCAAGGCTGGAGTATGTAGTTTGAAAACTAGTTTGAGGTCCTGGTGAAAAGACTCATGTGGAGTTACTGGTACAAGTTATTTTTAGAGTTACAAATGAGAAAAACTTGTCTGATCTGGTGAAGATCTGCCTGGTGCTCCAGGTGTTGAGCACATGCGAGCAGTCCCATAAAGCCTGTGGTGTCCCCACAGGAAATCCCTGAGTGTTAGTTCGGTCTAAACGCTTCAAGTTTGAAAAAACACAAGAGGTTTTATCTACAGGAAGCGTGACAGGGCTGAATCTTTTACCAAACACGTGGAGGTCTGCTAGCAGTGATGGAGATAATGAGCGTGCTACGTCTATCCTACGAGCCTACACGCCGGAGTGCAAGGGCTCAATCGTATATTTAACAAAAGGACGCTCATCATCTTTTCCAAAGTTGTTTTCATGGAGCTGAAAACAGCACTGGGATGGTAACAGACGCCTGGGGGGTGAGGGGAACGGCACTTATGCTGCCATGAGAAACAGATTAAACTCATATGAAGCAGTTGTGCTGGTTTCCAGCAGAGCTATGTGTGTGTGCGCACAAATTCTTTCCCTGTGCACGTGGCGGGACGTTTACACATGTTAATGATGTTTTATTGGCCACACATACACATCGATGTAGGCCAAATGGACGCACTCATTGAAAAAGACTGCCACCCTTCCCTGAACACATGCTTACAAAACAAAAGCAAAAGCCCCGATCACCGAAGTATTTATTACTCATTTATTCACGCAAGAAAAAGGGCTGCTGCATTAGTTTTAAGACAGATACAAATAGTGGGGAAATGCCCAGGGCCTGCTTTGGACAAAAGAGAGAGCAGAGCTCTGTATGACCTCACCAGGATTACAAGTGGTCCCCTTTCATCCCTGGTCCCCCCCACCACCTCCACAAGGAGAACAAGCTCCACGGGACACTGGACAAGTCCAGCTAGCATCACTGTCCTGAGAGGTGAAGGAGGCCCACACACGGAAGCACAAACAGTTTGTTGACAGCAGTCTGAGCCGAGTCGGTTCCTGGAAGCTTGGGCAGGGCTGTGGTTTAGGGCCCAGCTGCCAGCCAACACCCAACACCCACCGTCTGGGCTGTTTCTGCTGCCCACCGGCTACCAGACACGCTGCTGTTACCATGAGGAGCTGGAAACTGAGGCTGGAACGCTTAAATACGCGGAGTGGCTCTTTGGTCCACTCTAAAAAGACAAACCCTGCAGGCCTAACTGGAACAGGAACTATTTCTGCTTAGAGCTGACCAGTAACCACACTAAACAACACAGAAGCTCTTTGTTAACCATGACTTCAACACGCCACTTTAATGCCTGTTTTTTCTCCATTATTTACACTCTAATCGATACTTTTTGCCTCGGTCAGACATGTGAGCGAGAGCTAACTGGGCCCTTCTGTGTCTACTGTACAGATCCCTCCTGCTGCCAACATGCTGTTCAGCGGCCAACTTGCAAAGAAGCCTGCGACCAGGTATGAACACACACACACGCACGCTCTCAAAGCCCGGCCATGACACTCAGCCCGTGAATGGAGGGGTTTGGAGGGCTACTGAGCAAGGTCTTTTTTTTGTCTGATGGGCAATTGAAGTGAAGAATGGACGCGGTCTGATGGAGGGGCAGGTGACACTCAGGTCTCTCTGATGCACGCCCGTCCCAGAAAAAACACAAGAGCCAACGGGAAAGAGGCTCCTCTCCGGGAGAAAACCCTCTAAAGCTTTTCCCTGCTTTAGGGAGACAATAAGGAGGACGTAGCTGAGAGGGACATAATACAAAACCAATGTGGCTCTTAATGGTTGATGTCCATGTGTTTTAAAAAAAAGAAACTGAGACAAAAACAAAATGAAGAAAGGAAGGGAGATATAAAAAATATTAAAAAGGTGTAAAAATATATATATTTTTATAAAGAAACTTGTCACGACAGCAGGAAAAGGACACTGTGGTGTCATGACCCTAACCCTGAGTCTTTGCCAGAAATTCAAATCCGACTTTATTCATAAAGTACTTTTCCTACAAAAGCAGCACAAAGTTTCCATAATGAAATCATAATAAGGAAGAGGAAGAGGGGGTGTAAATAGAGGGAGGGACTGATCTGCGTGAGCCCCTTCTGAACGGGATGGAAGGAGGTTGTGGGGAAGATGGCTTAACCGTTGAGTTTAGGGAAATATTCACTGGTCTGCTCCATTTGTTTGTAGCACAGGTTTGTTGTGTTCAAATACAGTGTCCCGTCCCTCAGAAAAAGCTATTCTTTTGCATAGGTGAGAGATCTTGTCACTGTTCCATATCTGTTCAGTAAGCATGAGGGAACGGCCTCCTTTGGATCCTCGCTGCCACTTCCTGTAAATCTAAATGACATTCCTCTAGTGCAGTTTGCTACACGCACTTCCTATGAGTTCTACAAACTTCTGTTTCTGGCCCTGAAGGAAAGGGAAAGTTGAAAATGAACGGATTCTATGGAAGTCAACGTTTTGACCTTTGAACTTGCAGAGTTCTGTATCTGGTCAGTCCTTGAGTTACTTATTTGGCCTGTTGAAGATGGTGTGAGCTACCATGGGGAGTTCTTCTATCAGCTCAGGGTGCTGCTGTTCTTTTAGCATGAGCTGGATGTGTGCTGGATGTCCAAGTGCTGGTTCACACCATCACCTTACAGCAACTCACTTAGAAATTTGTTATTTCTCATTTGAAATGGCTCCCATTTTTTCATTGGAGCTATTTGCCATAGTGGTCAGCTTATTAAACAGCTTCACCAAATTAACTCATTGACTGCCAGAGTTTTTTGAGCATTTTGACTGATTTTTCAAGAGCCACAGAATAGTTTGTGCTATGACTATGTAAACACCGAACACACCAAAAGAAAGAGTAGACTTTCTTCTTTCATCAGGAAAAGAAAATTGTTTCTACCTTATTCCGTTCTTCCTGGACTTGCGTCTCACCGGCGACATGTTCTCTCATAGAACCGTTAGCTTTTTCTTATTTGCCTACAGTCTATGCTCATCTCCCATCAAAAGTGGCACTGCCACCTAGAGGGTCAATTTGTTACTACATACTCTGTCTAGAAGCCCATATTTACGGACAAGCTTTAGCAGATCGTCCCCCAGACACTCTCGTTGAAAAACATAAAAGACGTGTAAAGACGTCTTTGGCAGTCAATGAGTTAAATGTGTATTGGTACTTAAGAATTTTGCATAGAGGACCATGTTGGTAGCTTAACTTCAATAAGAAAGTTTCTGTTTATCAAAAAAATAATAATCACAGCCTCTTCCCTTGTTTGATATCGTGCCAAATTGCCAAATTTCTCTTCCTCTGTTCCTCCGTCATCTTATCTTTTTTGTGCATCTCAGCTTGAGAGCATAGCCCAAACAACACACATTTAGACTGGAGAGCAGCCAGTTTGACACATGCCTCTGACATTCCCAAAGAATACTTCAGCTCATCGCTTACCAACGCAAATAAGTTATCTTTTTTCTTTACGTCAAGTCATTATTTTACTAATGAAAACAAATTAAAAAAAGATTAATAGATAAGACTGTAAAGCCATAAAACTGAAAGCCATCAAGCATCATCGGAATTTAGCTTTGCTGGGAATCATCCAACAGTCCAATAGCTGTGGATGAAAAGGGATGATCAACAAAAACAAGGGTCCCTGCCAGCAGTTCGAGAGTGTGAAGCTGTAAATCTGACTCGCTTGGTTTCCTGACTTTGCACTTTAGCCAGAGACTGCTGGCAGCAGCTGGATTCTCCCAGGCTCCAGTCTTGTTTGTTAGTGTGCACACCACAAACCTGAAGGTCTTAAGAATGTTTAAATGAGCATAACTCAGAGAAATGATCTATTACGTTCCCATTACTTGTGTCCTGTACTGGGAAACAACTGGATGCTACTTTACTAGCTTATGTATCAGAGGTACTTTCATATATCCCATTTTTAGACCCTCATCAGTATCTTCACAACCAACTGAATATTAGTATTGTGTGCATTTGTGGACAAGCGCATCTTTAGGTAGGTAAAAATAAAAGATGGAGAAAGTTTTAAGTTAAACCAACCACTTTCTGAAAGGAAAATTTGCTCTTGTCTTACAGCTCGCCACCATCAAGAGTGAGTCACACCTGAAACATCTGCTCCAGAGGTTACCCAGCTACTGCTCCGAGTCCATGGTGAGTCAGGTCCACATTCACCGACAACTGTCCTCCTAAGCTGTGTGGGTGCTACCCAGTTTAAACCTCGTCATAATACATGAAAAAAGCTTAGGAAGAAAATCACTGAACCTTTGACAGATCCTGGGATGGATCTTTTTTAACCTCTTTCAATTCTATATGTAACCACTTTTCTTTTGGATCTCCCTTTCTGTTAGAAAATCTTGTAAGAAGTCACATTATCTGTTGATGTTGTATCAGAATGTTACCCTCATATCTCCTGGAAAGGGCCCTCTAAACAGTTCCTACTGTGTGGGCGAGGAAAAGGGGCCGACAAACTAAAGACTGACTGCTCAGTTTTTAGGGATTGCTGACGTTTATTTTCTTTTCTTGGAGGAGATGCAGAATGTAGTGTTTCATTGACTGTGGTCTGAAATGTAGCTGCTAGAAATCTATGCACCAGCTCCATGAAGGTAAATTAGAGTTGTGTTTGCAGAGTCAAACTGATGACTGACTAAAGCAAAACTATTATAAAATATTCAATGTCCAATATTTTCTGGACTCCTCCTCCCACAGTCAGGAAATGTTGGTATATCTGGTACTTCTAATCTAGCTGTATGTCTGTGTGTGTCAGTGTTTCCCCTTAATGGACCACCACTCATTTGAGAGAGGCTCCCTATTTTATGAATGCCGTGTATGGATGAATCCACACAGGGATGAGCAAACAGCCACCATGCAGAATCACTCCTAAAGACAATTTGGAGTCTCCAATTAACCCGTCATGCATATTTTTGACTGGCTGGTGGACGGGAAGTGGAACCATGGAGATTGAACTTATTTCTAAAAGGACTGCAAGTGATTAGTTCACTGTTTACTGCATTAGCACAGAATGAATATAAACTCCTGACACAGGAAGAAGAGATTAGTGATGGCAGTCCGGTGACACCTAGTTTAAACCACACTCATCACACACACACACACACACACACACACACACACATTTTCACAGTCCTCCTTCCATGTGTATTTAGAAGCTAAGAGGCTTGTTTGATGCTTGCTTTGGCCCTCTTAAAGCAGACTCTCTAAATGCAAACACATCTGTGATGCCAGAGCTGGGACTAAATCACCTTACAGACAGATCAACCCAGGCTGTAAATAAGCACCTGCGAGTGCCAAACACCACCCTTCTGGTCTGGTTCCAGTCAAGGTCTTTTAAGGCCATAACTAGGAGAAGAGAGTGGATTCTTCTGGGAGGCCCGTTCACTAATCTGATGAGCTGCTCTTCACTCTTCTTCTACTTCATTATTTACATGATGAGCTCTGTGGAGAACTTCTGAGAGATTAGTCATTCAGACATGAGGGGCATTTCCAGTAGTGTCCCTAATAACTTCAGGCAAACATGCTAAGATCACGGCAGAATTTGAGCCTGGTCACTCACACCAACTGCCCCAGAGCAGAAAGATACCCTGATGTTCCTGGTTGGCTCCTGGTTACCTAATTTTAGAGTGCGGTCATTCAAATCCCGGTGACCTTTGACCTGAAGGCAAACTGATGCTAAGGTTTTGTCTCCAAAGAGTAAGTGGTTTAGAAAATAAATGGGTGATTCTATGAATGGACGGATGGATGGATGGATGGATGGATGGATGGATGGATGGATGGATGGATGGATGGATGGATGGATGGATGGATGGATGGATGGATGGATGGATGGATGGATGGATGATCAAATGCTGAACTACATGATACTCAGATTAGAAAATAACTTTCAACTCCACAGGTTTAGGATTATTGGCCTCTTATGAGGAAAAAGCTGTTTTCAGTTCCTTGATTCTTGTTTCTTTTTCCAAACATGCTGTTGGATATTTGCTGCTGTGTTTATTATCTTTGTTCCATAAATGACACAGATTCTTGTTTTTTGAGGTTTATGCAGATATTGAATACTGTGATTCTACCCAGGCATCCCTTCCATCCATAATGGCTTAGGTTTGAAAGTTTACAATCTTGGAATGTCCCCTGATGGGAAGGCTCTTTTCTTCTTGTGGCCAACCTTTATCAGTGTAGAATGATAAACTCCAGATAATAAATGTTATTCTAACCATTCCCAGATTGGTGATAATAACAGCCATCTATCCAACATCATTTCTGGTGTCTTTCCTCCTGGGCATTGTGCTAACACACACCTAAATCTGTAAATCTAGAAAAGTCTACTCAGTAGTAATAGATGAACCGTCTTTTTAGACCACATGGATAGAAAATCACAGCCACAGTCCAAAATCAAGGGTCAGAGACACTCTTTCACATTGACATCTGATCTGGATTATAGCTTTATACCTTCGGTTGTTCTTCCTCCTATAGTGTTACAGTTTTTCACCTGAGAGTTAGAAATGTTTCCAACTTGCTCCTCCTGTCTGTTGTTCTTGTTCCTGAGTTTATTCCAGACATCTACTCTTGACTAGAATAATCTCTGATCTGGTTTATGGACCATTAGGCTTAGCTGCTGTCACTTGTGTATCTGAATACACACTTGCCTGACTTTGAACCCTGTTCCTGACTGAAAGAGGGGCTCATTTCTATTTCTCATGAGTTTTTTATCTTTATTGTCAGTCATTTTGATAAAAAGCACTGAAACGGTGGAGGGATGATGCTGACATGTTAGGTTTACACTTTACCAACACAAGTCCATGCAGCAGTTTGTTTTGTCCTCTCCACTCTAGTATCTATCTCTCCAGTGCAGAATGGTTCTCTCTTAAATGCATGGATAGAGGAAAATCTTGCTCCTGGCAATTAATTCCACAGACTATCCCGACAAACCCACGGCAGTTTTATTAAATGGATGTTTTCCTGTTTTTTTTAAACTATTCTAATCCAAGGAATGTAATACTAACTCAAAAACATCGTCACACATTCTTCTTCAACCTTTCCCCTCAACCAGTTTGGGATTATTGGATAAAGACGGTCCAAAAATGATATTCCCTGACACCAAGTATGTGTAATTAAAATTTTAAACGGTGAAGACTCTGATTTTTTATGTTTATCTTAAATAACTAAATTGAATCCACGCCTGGTTGAAGCTAAGACAGTCAGATACAGTAAATGATGCAGTCAGTCATCAAAAAGACATTCAGGTGTGACATGGAGCTAAAACCTGCACATTCCACAAGAACATTCAAGAAGAACCAAATCTGAGAGAGCAGAAGCAATTCTGAGCACATAGTGTTTTGTGTTTGCCGCTCTGAGGGTCATTGATCTGTCCGGTCTGTGTGCTGGTACACAGCTTTTGGCTGAAGGTTTCCAGGTGAAACCGTAACGGTGTCCTCTACTTGCTGGAGTTTGTGAAACCAGACTGACATGTAAAAGCCACCTAGTGGTACAAACCTGTAATGAGCTGAGCGTCTCCTGGACTAAAGTTTAGCTCTGTTTTGAATTGCTGGTCCATGCCGTCATGCGGCCCTTGTGGCCGGCTAGCTGCTGCTCACGGCTAAAGGGGGGAGCCACAGCACTATGGTGAAGAATCACCGGGCTAAAGAATCCAACACGGCTCTAAGAAGTCAGCATAACGTCAAAACTGGCATGTGTGCCACATCCAAACTCTTCTAGAACCTATCCAACAAGACTTTTCTGTCAGATCATTAGCACATCGGTTGTGTTTACCACACAGATCAGGGATCAGAAATATGTCATAAATCATAATCATAAAGCTGAGCTGTCCCCTTTGAGCCAAACCTAAATGATATAATTGCAGTGGTTTGTGGATGAATGTCCAGAATTATGAGGCTTATGTGAAGAATGTGTTTGTTTCTGTAATGCTTTGAGTCACACACAAAGTGATGGAAATGGCCAAGTTCACTTCCAGAAAATATCATAAGTTACAGTGTGGTGACTACCTCGTATACTTCTCCCTCTCATGGTGCGTGTGGACACTCAGGCTTTGTAAATAAAGGTGACATTTCTCACATTTAAGGTAACAACATTTTGCTCACAGTATACTGGATAAAATCATTTAAAAAAATTATCCGATGTCTTAATTTTTTTCTTTAACAAAATGTAAAATAATGTGTTTATGATTCAATTTAGTCAACAATTTCTGCAAGTTTCCTATAAACTAAAATGCAAAAAAGGATATAAACAGTATTTTAGTTGTTTTTTAAACAAAATTTTATTAACTTTATGAATGTACAATGGGTCCCAGAAGTCTTATTATCAAATCTGATATGTGCAATATTGAAGGATCGACTTTGTTACAGCCAGTTATTTAATTTAACTCACTTTAGTGTAATATCTCCATTTTTGGACCACAGTGGGGTGGAAGGTGGTCGAGTTAATGGACTCAAGGCAATGTGTATCAGTCAAGTAAATCATCTATTAATTAGCAAACACAATGTGCACTTTTACTGCGATTGATTTGACACAACTTTTAAAAAATATAGTTTTATCAAAACTACGTTATCCTAGTAATCCTAGTAAACAAGATGAGCAGAGATACTGTGAAAATCAGCTAACAAAATAAGTAAATGTCTGTAGTGATCAGCTGTTTTACTTCCTAATGTGAAGACTGATTTCTGGGTTTACTTAACCAGCCCATCACTTACCTCTTTGTCTTTTGTGTTCTCCTAGAATGAACTTTGGATGTGCATCAACTCCACACTTCCTGGTAAGGAACGATTTCCTACTGTTGTACTGTCTAGTCCTCATGATATAAGTATATGTGTTTCACTGTAATGCTATATCCTCCCAGCAAGAAAACACAGTGGGTCAGTTAGTTGCTTGAGCAAAAGGAAATGTGTAAAAAAAGATATTTTCCCAAGAAGTGAAGTGTAGACACCTGCAGTAACTCGCATTAGTGAGCAGATGAAGGAGCAGCCGCTCATTGTTTGGTATTAACCTGGTGAAGCCAGCAGTTATTCTCTTAATCCACAGATTTACTGAACATCTTATCTCAAAGTGCTGCAGTCTGCTCAGCTTTTTGCTCATAAATGAGGAGCTCCTTTATCTGAACAGACATTCCCCGGTTCAGTCCTCTCTCAAATTCCAAAGATGCACTTTGACTCCGGAGAGCCTGGACGGCAGAAGTCTGTGAGTGTTCTGGAGCTGTGAGGAGAGCTCTGACCACAGAACATCTGAACAGAACAGCCCCGGATCAAAGGCCCGGACCCTGCTGTTCGGGCTCCGCCTCTACAGCGCTTAATGGCCTCCAGATTGAGGAGCATTGTTGTTCTTACCTTTTGTACCTGCGGAACACGGGCATCCAGACAGCCCCAGAAGTCTGCAAAAACTTAACCTGTTTAGGAGAAAGCCTCCCTCAGTCCCTGTCAGACTGAGAGACAGCATCGATTACCTGTGCTCTGCATTCCAGATGCTCCCACAGGTTCTTATTTCTCACCCTGTTGGTGTAAATGCTTCTGCAAACGTCAGTTTAGATGAATGAATTCCTTCATGCTTCTGAATGTGTTCAGGATGCTCACAAAATGCCCTTTGAGCAGCGACAGACTTTAAGCGTTTTGTGTTTGATTTGGCTCCAGGAGTGTCCAAAAAGTCCGATGGCTGGGTGGGGCTGGGCTGCTGTGAGCTGGCCATCTCATCAGAGTGTCGCCGTGAATGCAAACAGGTGAGCCCCCCCAACATGTCCTCAAGTGGACTCTTACCTGTTTGGCTCTGAAAGAAGAAATGACAGTATCTTTTTTCTTTATTAGTGTTCCTATCCCTTATCAATTTGTCTTCCTCCCACAGGCATCATCTAAAAACGACATCACGAAAGTCTGCAAAAAGGTTACAGAAGTAAGGCAAGGGGGGGGGGGGGGGACCTTTAAAAACGGCAAAATTTTAGCTATTTCACAGATATGAGTTTTATCAGAGAAGAGCGCTGTGCAGACCTCAGTATTACCTTATGTAGCCGTTTGAGGTTCACCAGCTCTTCTCTTTTCTCCTCAGAATTCCCTCTACAGCTGCATCACCAAAAATGAAAGTAAGTTTTCACCCACACCCACAATGATCAGTTAAAGATGCATCATCCAGCGGATCCATCCCAGTTCTATTGGAGGCTTCCTTTCTTTTCGGACCACTGGATGGATGTGTTTTTATGCTGTTGTGTTCTCACAATGCTGAGTTAAGTTACACGCCTGGAATGTGGTTATCCGTATTTCTGGGACAACTGGGACAACATTCCAGCTTTACTGAGGCCCGGTCCCAGTGTCCTTATCCCAGCAGAACCAGCAGGGACTGCCACCCGGACTAAAAGGGACTGTCTCTGTCATCAGGAAACTGTAACCAGAATTTGATAGTATTAGTGGTCATTCTTCTTCCTACACACATTTTCTACTGTAGTATATAAGGTGGATCAATTTACTTCAGTGGGACCACTCCCCAAGCTACTGAGTTACCTATCCGTTATTTTGCCAGCGCATTGATATTGACACTGACACTACAGTGAAGCTAAGTAAAGTCCAGTTCATTTCACCTCTGAGTTGAATCTTTTATTTGATATACTATGTTGGAGTAGAGACACAACATCTACTACTATGGAAAATGTCTCCAGACTCCTCCTGCCGTAGGTTATTCCTCACCGTCTCTCTCTTGTGCGTGTTTGTTTGTGTGTGTGTTCCTGCAGTGGGGTCGTCCTGCTGCAGCTTTGCCGGGCGCCACACCACCTGCCGGGACTACTGCGAGGCCATCTTCCGGACGGACTCCACCCCCACCGAGTCCCAGATCAAGGCCGTCAAAGAGTACTGCCAAAGCCACAGCCACAAGGTGGTGGACTGCGTCAACAACTTCACCATGTCCTACCCCCCCCGCAGCCCCATCGACAGTACGTCCCTCCCACGCCCGGCTCAGTGTGTTTGTTGTGTGGTGGCCTGAGCTTCTGAACCCCCCCCCCCCCCCCCCCCCCCCCCCCCCCCCCCCCCCCCCGCAGGCCTGTACTGCTGTGACCGGGCCGAGGCCGCCAAATGTCAGATCGCCTGTCGGAAGATCCTGCGCACCATGAGCACGGAGCACGAGATCATGGACGGGCTGATCCGGGAGTGCGGCTCCCAGCCCCTCCCCCAGGACCCCATGTGGCAGTGCTTCCTGGGCAGCGCCAACCCGCCCTCCCCGCCCGAGGAGGTCCCCCCCCTCCCCACCAAGATCGACGGCGCCAAGCTCCACTGCTGCTCCAAAGCCAACACCTCCCTGTGCAGGTACCATGCCGTGTTCCCGCCCAGGCTGTGGGCCCGGGGGGGGGCGGGGGGCAGGAGACTGATTGTCTGTGGTTCTCTGGGGTGGCAGGGACATGTGTCAGAAGATCAGCACCCACTGGGGGAGCCAGACGTGGCAGGACTTCGACCAGCTCTGCGAGTACAACCCGGTGGAGGCGGAGCTTATCAACTGCCTGTCGGACGTCCGGGAGCCCTGCCAGCTGGGCTGCAAGGAGCTCAGCTACTGCAGCAACTTCAACAACAGGTCAGAGGACACCACAGGACATCACTACACTAATGTCCCGACACCTGTGTGCGCTGATGCTGGGAAAAAATATTCAAAATTATTCTAAAGATGAAAACCGACCACTCTCCTAAAGTCCACATCCATTCATCTGCTCTGTGTTTATGCTTTGGAACACACATTCTGTCATCTAAACCAGTTTTAAACCGAATCATCCACTTTGAAGAGGGTGTTTTCACACTAGTGTTCATTTGGGAGGATGTAATAAGCATCTCGGGGTGTTCAGTTTTGTGTGTCCATCATGTAGAATCATGATGGGATCTGTTTGTTTTTAAATTTCATTCTAAACTCTGAGCGTTTTTCCAGAGAAATGAATGTCTGCACCAACCTTTTCAATTTAGACATTGCACCACATTCCACCTGCAGAGAAGATGGGTTTAGAAGTCCGTGGCCACCGTCTTGATTCTTTATGAATTGATTCTAATTTGTGCTCTGTATCCACTCTTTAAAAGATGGAAGAACTAAATCAGACTCAAGGCCATGTGAAAGTGAAAAGTAGTCACTCAAATTCCCCCAAAGAAACTGACACACAAAAACACAGAGTTTGACACAAAGTGTCAGGCTGAAGTTCAAATAGACGCCATCTCAAGGGGATACAATCTAATCTTTGTTATTTGAACCTTTGACTCAGATTACAGAATGTGCTTTACCCTGTGGCTTGGTGGCTGGACTTAGGTTCCTCTGTCCTCAAGTGACTGTAATGAAATATGCACACAGCTTTGTGACGACTTTTCACCTTTGCGTTAATACGAAACTGAGCACTTTGGTTTAGGTGGACCCAAATTCCTGATAAGACTAATTAGGACGCTAAAGAATTTTATCAGTAAAGTTGAACATAGATGTAAAATTGCATGTAGCATAAGATTTGATGTAATGAGGAAATTGGAACAACATACAATGCAAACAGAGTGTGTCCACCCTTTTCCAGTGGCCTCACAGGAAAACTGGGATGGAACGTTTCTGAAGCCCCTTCCTGCATACCACTGCCCTCTTGATCTTTTTCTCTGAAGATTCCATCCTGTCTTTTTCTTTCTGACCTTGATGCAATCAGATGTGAAAATGGGGTCCGTTTAAAGGGGACCGCGTTGTTCGTCTTTGCTCTCTGGTAGTGTGTTTCATCAAAGAAGATCAGCTCTGTCCAGCAGCTGGTCCCCCTCTTCAGTTTCTGCTTTTGTGTTGGGAATAAACTGTTAATTCATCTGATCTGCACACCATGGCTACAGCCTTTATTTACACTGTCCACAGCATTCCAACTTTTGGGTTGTGATTGTAATTAAAGTAGTGTAAAGAAAATATATTTGTTTGAAATTATACATTATTGTTATCATTATTATTATTAGTAGTAGTATTAGTAGTATTATCCTTGTGCTCGATACAGCACATTTAGAAGGGAATTTTTCATCACTAAAGTAGATCTGGTATTCATTAAGATTATCAAACAAATGAGTTTCAAGTTAAGCCATTAGTAGAAATGGAAACAAGCTGCTGCTGCAGAGGGAAAAGCTGTGATAGATGAGTTTCCTTTTCTTCCTCTGAACCTAAATGTAGGTAGATTTTTCTTCTTGTCCACAACTGGGGCTTTGAAAGTGACAGAAAACGGAAAAAGTATTTCACGGAGAAATTTTCAACAAAAATCACCTAAGCTGCCACATTTAGTGGCAGCTTAAGTGGAAAACCACTGTTTACCACTGTGGGACTGACGTTAAAGGTCCAAGATTACACACATTCACCACAAGACAAACACAGAAGCCACTCATCAAGTGGAATGATGGAACCACACCCAAATATTCTCCCCAGGACCTCCCGTCTTTTTTAAACCAACAGTTAGCTGATTCACTTAAGACCTAACCCATCAACCAGGAATAAAAGAAGGAAATCACTCATTTTATTCATAAGGGAACACAAATTACTGTAGTTTTTATTTCTTTTGCGTGCCGCTTACTGTGTAATCTCAGCCAGTTCCCCTTCACTTAGTCCAGTGTGTGTGTGTGTGTGTGTGTGTGTGTGTGTGTGTGTGTGTGTGTGCAGGCCCACAGAGCTGTTCCGAAGCTGCAACGTCCAGTCGGACCAGGGAGCCATGAACGACATCAAGCTGTGGTCCAACGGGACGATCAAGATGCCGTTCATGAACATCCCCGTGCTGGACATCCGGAAGTGTCTGCCGGACATGTGGAAGGCCGTGGCCTGTGCCCTGCAGATCAAGCCCTGCCACAGCAAGTCCAGGGGCAGCGCCATATGCAAGTAGGGCTCCAGCCACAGCCCTCAGAGTTCTTTTACTGCACCATTGTTTTTTTTATAGTGTTTGAATTCTCCATTTCCTGGTGTCTTTGCTCAGGTCCGACTGTGTGTACATCCTGACCCAGTGTGGGGACAGGAAACGCTTCCATGAAGGACAAACCCCGGAGAGGATCTGCGAGCTGCTGTCTCCCATCGATGACCCTGAGCGCTGCATCCCTCTGCAGAGATACCTCTGTGAGTGACGCTAAACATCCTGCTCAGGGGCTTTTGTGCCGAGAAACATTCGGCTTCTATGATTAAAAGAGCCAGTAGAGGGCGGGAGAGCACAGGAACAGTTCTAACATGTTGTCCTTTTGTGAAGTTGGTAGTGACTTGTGTTTACCAAGCTATTGTCTACATATGTATCCAGTCAAAAGCATTTTTGAACCACTCTTCCTTCTCCCCTGACACACACTCAGTGCCCAGTTCCCTTGGTAACGCCATTATTGAGGAGGTCATCCACCCATGCAACCCCAACCCATGTCCCAGCAACCACCTATGCCAGGTCAACAGGAAGGGCTGCCTGGATAAGCTGAACTGTCTGCCCTACCTCTGCGTGCCCGGTAGGACTCCCGGACCCCCGTCTGCTGGCTCCGCCGCCCCCCGCTGCCCCCCCCCCCCAAAGCCTCACCTCTGTGTGTGCGTTTCCAGGCTGCAAACTGGGCGAGGCGTCCGAGTTCCTGGTGCAGCAGGACTCCCGCATCCAGGTCCCGGCTCACGCCGCCCCCCCCGGCTGCTACGAGGTGTGCGGCTGCGGCGCCAGCGGGCGGCTGGAGAACTGTGTGGAGATGCCCTGCGTGGACACCAGCAAGCCCTGCATCGTGGAGGGCCAGAGGAGGAGTAAGACACCACTCGTTTCCCCTCATTTTGTATTTAAAACACAAAACACGTGGCTTCAAACAGCACGCTTAAGGTTTTATTTGAGCTGTCCTTGGTGATGCAATCCAAGGCCCAAATCTGTAGAATTCTTTAGATGGTGAAATCCCCTCGCATGTGTGGATTGTAGTGTTGTACACAAAAACCTTCGAAGGATAAGCTTTACCATGAACGTGTTGAGATCTTGTGAGGTCCAGCAGCAGCCTGTCAGTGCCACGCCATTTTCCACCCTCACACTTAAACTGCACACGCCCCCATAACAAAGGAAACCGACCCCTTCTCAAACTATAAAAAGCCACTACTGACAAATGTAGCGACTTTTTCTTGGCGTTATCGTTCTTCTTCTGGGGCAGCCGGTGCAGCCCTTGGACCCTCCCTGTCTCAAAGCGCTCAGAGGAGAGCCAGTCCTCCCAGCTTCAGTCAGCAGACTTTTTATACCAACCCCTAAAAGTGTAATTGTGCATGTGTGATTCAAGACAAAAATGCATGTGGCTTGACTGATGGATGAAGTGTCTTTATTTGCCTTGTTTTTTAAATACGAGCTCTGAAACTTGACAATAAGTTCACTGAGACAAACCTAGCAAACATTAGATATAAGAAAAGTATGGACTTCTTAAACAAATCTAACCAGCAACACAAGAAAAAGATCACTACACAAGTTATTTATTAATAGGGAGAACTATCACATGAACAGATGACTAAACACTGCCCTCGTGTGGTCATCACTAGTACTGCATGTATCTTCCCTCCTAATGTTCCTATTGATTGAATCTACTTCTGGTTGCATCATGAGATTGATTTTAACTGCATAAAAACACAACTCACCAAACCCGTTACGCTCTGCTGAATGTGGATCCACTTGTGGGAACTCAAGAGGGAACAAACCAGAATCTCTTCATCCAAAAATAACACTTAATTATTGGATAGATAAGTGAAAGGGTCCCTGATCCAAAGGCAGGTTAAAAATACAGACAGATATTCAAGAAAGAAAGTTCAGTGAATATGCAGGAATGAAAGAACAATGAAAAATCACATACATTTCTTGTAAGAATAAAAGAAAAGGATCAACCAGAATGCTGTCAGCAAACAAAAGGGTTACATTTCTCACTGGGATGGGTTAGCTAAGGCTAACCCTGACCCTAAGATAGGTCGGTTTGCAGCAGGTGACAGGTTTGAATACGGTCAGTGCACAACTGAAGACCATTAAAGGGACTGTTGAGACACAGAACCGAGAAAAGTCCACAAGACAAAAGTAATAATAACAAAGGTTGTTCATACAAAGACAAATAAAGACATGAAAAACAAACTAAAAGTGAATACATAAACAAGAAAACAGAGTCGAAGCTAAACCAAGACATGTAAAACAAACCCACACAGAGAACCAGCTAATCCTGACGGCTGCTTTGAAGCTCTCATTTCTCATGCGCCCTGAACTCATATGACCCCCATGCTCAGTTTTAAAGGCCATTATGAGGGTGGATTTTTCACAGGTAATCGGATAAAGAATGAAGCTAAAAACCTACCTGGGTTTTAGTTGTCTGAGCAGAGCTTTACTGCAGAGTCTTTAACATCAAACTAAATAAGATGATCGGAGTCTCTTGGAAAAAAGGCTATTCACGAGCTACCATCATCATCAGCATTTGTTTTTAATGTGAGAGGGAGCATTAAATGTGCCAGTATTTTGTGTGTCACTTCCCTAATTTATATTCCATTAGGGTACTCTACCTGTTTTTCTCTTTATCGCTTATTGAGTTTGTAAATAATAAACAATCATGATCTCTGTAGTAAGGAGGCCTCAGGAGATTTTTGGCTATCCCAAAGCTTTTCCAGATCTTTCAATGGAGGAATTACGATAGTCACACAAACCAAGATGGCAGTAACAAAAGCAATAATGAATTAATTAAAAACTGCCTTGTCTGTTTTACACCTCTGGTTTTTTAAAAATCCTGTGGTGTGTTCATGGACACTGGTAGAAAAAACAGCATCACAGCCCTGGTTTAAATCTCAAGCCTTTCAGTACTTATTCAGCCTGTTGTCTGGGACAAAGCCCTTTAAATACGTGGACATTGTTCTTGTTAAACTGTCACTAACTAAACTGTTGTCCCTCTGTCTTTGGGCCTGTGGTTTAAATGTCGCTGTGGAATGTGAATTGTGACGTGTCACACACTGGCTCGGTGTTTTGCTCATGTGCTGTTGTCTTGTTGTGTGTCACCGTCAGACCACGGCACGTCCTTCAGGACGGACTGCCACACCTGCTCCTGCTTCGCCGGGGAAACCGTCTGCTCCTCCAGGAGGTGCTCCGCCAGCCACTACGCGGAGGAGGACCACCAGCATTTCACCGGTCTGCCTCCTCATTGGTCTGGCCTTTGCAGATAACGATGACATAGCTTTAGCTGGTACTGGTCAGGGCTGGTGGTCAATATGTCCCTAAGGCAGGCAGTGGCCTGTTGGCTGGAACTGACCAGTCAGCCGGTGTTCTTATAGATCCAACCCAATTGATTTCATCCTCAAATGATGCTTCATGGTGGTGTGGTGGTTAGCACCGTTGCCTCACAGCTAGAAGGTTCTGGGTTGGAGTCCCGGGGGAACCAGGACCAGAGGGTTCTTGGTTGGAGTCCCGGGGGAACCAGGACCAGAGGGTTCTGGGTTGGAGTCCCCGGGGGAACCAGTACCAGAGGGTTCTGGGTTGGAGTTCCGGGGGGAACCAGGACCAGAGGGTTCTGGGTTGGAGTCCCGGGGGGAACCAGGACCAGAGGGTTCTGGGTTGGAGTCCCGGGGGAACCAGGACCAGAGGGTTCTGGGTTGGAGGCCCCGGGGGAACCAGGACCTTTCTGGGTGGAGTCTGCATGTTCTCCTGTGTCTGTGGGTTCTCTCCGGGTTCTCCGGCTTCCTCCCACCCTCCAAAAACCTGCATGTTAGGTTGGTTGGACATTCCAAACTGCCCTTAGCATGAGTGTGTGTGGTTGTTGGTCCTTGTGTGTCTCTGTGTGTCCCTGTGATGGACTCGGGACCGTCCAGGGTGACCCCGCCTCTCCCCATTGACCACTGGGATAGGCTCCAGTACCCCTGGATGGATGATGCTTCAGTCCCGCTGTGCTTTGGTTTGGAAACCAGTAACCAGAGCCTCTCTGGCCAAACCTAGACTGCAGGGCAGTGATTAAAGCTCACTGTCGCCCCAAATGTTGCCTTTATTTCTGACATCTTTTTTCATGTCCCTCCCCTCCCTCTCAGGCCCCCCGTGTAACTGCCCGGACCACTTCATCCCGGTGTGTGCGCAGAATGGCCGCACCTACCCCAGCGGCTGCGTGGCCCGCTGCATGGGCTTTAAGGACAACCAGTTCGTGTTCGGCCAGTGCCGCCTCAGCAACCCCTGCACCAACAAGACCTGCCCCAGAAACCAGAGGTATGTCTGCCGGACTTTGTCCCAGTGCCCCCCCGCCCCCACGCCACCACCGCTGACGGACAGCCGGGCTGTTGTTGCAGCTGGCTCTGGTTCTGCTGGTTCTGCTGGTTCTGCTGGTTCTGGTTCTGCTGG